TGCACGACTCTGTTTCGCGCCCCCCCCCCCCCCCCCCCGACAAATTGGAAAATTTCCATCAACCTCCCCTAACCTTAGCCTGATTCTTTTAGCAGGAGAAACTGCTTTCCCTCCCTTACATCCACCAATGTGATCCCATTCAAACCTTTGCTAATGGCAGAAACAGAACTTCTAGCCATGCAATATAGCTTGTACTAAAAACCCTCTCACGGGAATGAGCTTTGCTCTAGTTCACTAGTAACGCTTATGGAAGAGGGCGATCTGCTGAATCACCACCACTTTCTGGAGCTCTCAGCATTTCCTTGAGGTTTGCTGATCCAAGCACTACACTGTTCTAAAGCCTGTTTGGCTTGTGCATTGTGGCAAAAATCACTGAGGGACAGAAGAGTTTAAAAACAAAGAAGCCTGATCTTCCTCTGACATCAAATTCTGTAACTCAGGAGTAACTAAATTGAAGTTAGTGTAAGCTGTAATATGCAAGAATATAGCAAGGACCAAAGGAGTTAAAAGGCAGAATCTGTTGCCTCCCAAAAGCACTTTTACACTACACTGAACATGTGAACAAGCCTTAAAAGGTTGTGAAAGCAGCTCCTAAGGCAATCCCACCATTTGAAGGTGGGAGTATAGGTGTGGCGTAGGTGCATGGTGTAGAAAGAAGCTGGAGCACTTCAACCTTCCACTGTTACAAGTTACAGCCCACCCTGTAGGCCAGGTGATTGTTCCACCTTATTCTCAAGAGCACCTCACAGTCTGGGAGCAGCTTACAACTGTCTGGAAGAACGAAGTAAAGAAGCTATTTCTAAAATCAGCCTGGCCTCTAAAATACTGAGTCATCCAAGATCTTAAGTGCTCCACAGATCGGGACCTACTCTCAGGAGGGAAATTTGATATGTTATTACCACTGCTTAACCAAACATACAAAAACAGTATAAATAACTTGAAGCCACATTCTACACCAGCAAGAAAATCCATAAACTATTATAAAATAAATAGTGAGTGGACATCATATATTATAACATAAATACAGTAAATATCCATTGCCACACATTTGGCATGACACTGTATTCAAGAAGATCACATCACAAATCAGTCCATCTCTTACAAAAGATACTTTAAGGGACATCATCATCAAATATGGGTTTGGGAGCAGTGAGGAACAAGGATTTACAAAGCGTGTTGCTCATAGGAATATGTAAACAAAATAAACAGGATTTATCTAGATTAGAAAATCCCTTCAGGGCTTTCAACTAAAACAGCAGCATTAGGAATCAGAAAGGAAGACTGACTAGAGATAAATCTAAATGTAGGTGAATCTAATACATTGATTGCCCAGGCAGAGAAAAATGCAAAAAGTAAACAAATGGCAAAAACAGTTTAAAAGATTTTTTTTTAATTTAATTTTATTAAGATGAAATTACTGGGGGGAATCTCTCTCTCTAGTTAGATAGCCTCCCTTTAGAATAACATACAAAGGACTAATGTAGGTAGACAAGGATCCATTAGTATTTTAGGTTCACTAGACATTTCTATCTAATATAATTATGGACTCTTCATAATTCATAACAAGCCATATTAAATTAAGAGCAGCAGAAGACTGAATATTTATTTTTTTTGCCATTTGTTTGTATTTATTATATATTAATATTTAAAGGAGGTAATTAGTATTAACAGTGAAGGCACAGTTTTGCACTTTGCAATGAAGTTAGCTAAACTTATTTCTTATTGACATTGTGTCCCGTGTTAAAAGTAGTTTCTCCATTTTTTAACCACAAGGAAATAAAACCAGAGAACCGAAATAGCTGGTAACATAACAAGGACTTTGAAAAGGTCAGCTTCAATAACCACAAAGTGTCTGCACGAGGCTCTTTCCTTTTTACCCTTTGTCCCAAATGTCAAAGAGACATGAAGGCTGTTCAAAGCGTTTAGGATAAAAATACAATTGTTCCTGGCACCAGCCAATGAGTGAAAAACCATCACTGAAATAATCCCAGTCAAGGGCCTATAGCATGAAGTGAGAAACACAGAAAATAATGTCAAAGCTCTCAAATTAAGCAGGATCAGGCCAGACAGATCTTTGGAGCTTTTAGAAACAGCTTTTTCAACCCTGGGGTCCATGCAATTTTCAATGGACATATTAAACAATGACTGCAATGGCGCACACTGCTTCTCACTAACTCACAGACCATCTTTCTTCCCCCCCCACCCTTATCTTCTGTTATGTTCTTTATCTTCACTTCCTCTGTCTCCACATGTAGACTTTGTATTACTGTACATGTATCCTTCCTCCCTACCTCATTTCCCTGGCCCCTAGTCCCACTCAGTCGCTCTTCCCGCCCCCTGGCTCATTTCTAGCACTCAGTTTACTCAGTTTATGTATTTATTTATTTTTGCTCTCCAGACATTTCCAACCACTGCAAGTGTCCCTAGCCCACATTCCCCCTGTTCTTCTAGTCTCCTCCTCTGGTTCCCCACTCTCATGAAAATAAGAAGCACAGAAAGTCACTTTCCTCTAAAACTGAACAAAGAACATTGTTAGAATAAGGGATCTGACACCAGTCCGAAAGCCACCGTCACTCTCAGCAGCGCTGCAGAGCTTCTGCCTAGCACATTCCTCAAATCCCTTGGTTGCCTTCCAGCTGGAACAAGTACCCACAACCTTATGCCCATTCCTCATTCCCCTCTTCCTCCATGGTCAGGATGGAGTCCTCACCTAATCGAGCTAGAGGCAGCAGTTGTAAGAGCAGAGTTCACAAGACTGCCATCAAAAGTCTGTCTTGTGAGAACTGGCAGCCTTGGCACTGCCATAGTTTGGGACTCACCCTGGGTTCCTGCGTGGTGAGGAAAGGTGTGGGTGCCAGTAGGCTGAGTGAGTGCTGGCAAAGGTTGATAGTATGACCCAGAGGTTAGGGTGGGTCTCGCACTGTGTTATTTGGCAGGCAATGAGGAAAGGACCAGTTTGAGGACTCCGACTCGGTGAGGGAGGGAGCTCAATGAAACACTGTGCAGCACATCAGGGGGAATGGCAGAAAGGGAATCTCACTTCAGTGCACAGTTCTTAAAATGAAGCTGAACATGCAGCTGCAAGCAGACCCATTGTCATCTGCATGGATTGCTGTGGAACGAAGAAGCAGGGGAAGAGCAAACCTGCTTAGGGGTTCTGTTTACTCCTTAACACAAAGCAGAATGTGTTAGTGCAGAGGTTGTTTGGTGCCAGCACCTTGTTGATGCCTGCTGTGGGGAGCATCTCCCAGAGTAACGGGCAAAGCGAAGAGCTCCCTTCCGTGTGAAGAAACCTCCTGGTAAAAGAACCAAGTGTGGAACAACCGAGGAAGCAAGTCACAACTCTTCAGGTTAGAGGGGCCAAGAGGTTCTCAAAATGGAGACCAAGCCAGGGTATGGAGCTGTCAAGGCAATATTTCATTTAATTCACAATGATGGTCTGATAACCAAGAACACTCAAAGGAAGGAAAATTAAAGCAGAGGCACCAGGCTCTCTAATCCCAAGGAAGCTCCTGCCTGTTAGCAGAATACAAGGTCTGGAGGAGGAAGTGGCACTAGACTTGCCTATAGGGAAAGGCTTACAGGGGCTGATGCTGTCCCTGTTAACTCTCCACATGGCATTTGTGGGAGGTTGGAATCCAAATCTGGGTGCACTGCATTTTTATTTTTTTTTTACAAGACTATAATTTCTCACTGCTAAAAACAGATGTCTTTGGAAGACACTGAGGCTATGGCCTAAGAGGATGAGATGACAGGGGAGCTCAGGAGACAGGAAAGTGACACAGTGGGTGCATCTACCCATGCCCAGGACTGGACAGTACCCATTGGTACTGCACAGTCCTGGCAGCACACAGATCATTTTTGACCCTACTGCACCACAGCAAGGAGCTCGTTGCTACTGTGCAGTAGTGGCGGCATCACTGCTAGTGCCTGCCAACACTACAGCAACGTAGCGCCTTGTGTAGACGCGCCCAGTGAGATACATTTTTCTTGCAGTTATTCAGGAGTAAGTCTCTAACTACTGGACTCTAACACAAGCATAGCAGGGCCTTTTACCTCCACATCAGCTACATGCAGATCAGACTGCCCACACCGCTTTTTTCCTGCCTCATAATCAAATAAGGAAGTTCTCCTGGGAAGAGATCATCCTTTTGGGGGTGGGGAGAAGGGAGGGTCCTTTATGGAGGGTGCTGTGCCTGTGTGATGCCTACATAACATGGCCCTGACCCCAAAGCACATCCTCTTAGCTCTGCCATGTAGGCAGAACTGGCAGCAATTCCTATATTTATAAAGGGTGTGCCTGGTTGCAAAACCCATCCTAAGGTTATCTAGCACTTTTCATTGTTTTCAGTTCCTTAGAACTTAGTCAAACTTCATTCTTTCCAGGCTGAAACTTTCCATGCCATCTTCCTGCTTCAGGCTCATTTAAAGTGTCAGCAAAACCAGGTTGGCTAGTTCTAAGACCAAGATCGGTAGAGTTTTCCTCCTATTCTGCCACTTTTAGATTCTTAAATAGTTTTATTAAAAAGTTCTAGCTCCTCCATGTTCTGAAATTTGGCAGAGGGCAGCCCGATGCTCAGCCAGGTCTTACTCTGACACTGTAAAGATCCAGCTTGCATGTGACATGGGGGTAGCAGCCCAATTCTCTAAAACTTCCATCTCCACTGAATTTATTTCACCTATGACAGTGCCTGTGAAGCTGGACTTTTCCTAGAGTTATGTCTCTTGGCTGCCAAACACCAACACTGAGAGCAGAGACCTTCTACTATGCAGGACAGAATTAGGGAGTATGATGTACAAGGGCAGAAGGGTCTACAGCTTACAGAACCTCACAGACATGTTGGGGTAGGGACAGATGAACAAGTTATATCAAATTTAGCAGGGGGAGGGAAATCTGCCATAGGTCAACAGAACTGCTTTGTGTATTAGCTTCTATTCCACTGTGGTAAGTAGAAGATAAACCATGGTAACTTGGTCCTGTTTCACTAAGAGGTGAGCTGCTCTGGTTCAGTTTCCACTTGCTGTGAAATAGGAACAGGGACAGCAAAGAGGTTGTCTTACACTCCTTTCGGGTTTGTCTACACTGGTCTGGAAGAATTCAGGGAGAAACACTCTCCAGCATGTCTCACCTACCACCCACCTCTTGCTCCCATGCCCACCAGCATAAGCTGAATGTTAAAGTGAGGTGCTGTAACCATTCTGGGCTCACCCCAGCAGCTACTCTAAACACCTCTGCCTCCAGCATGTGGGGACAACTGCTTGCTACTGAAACAATTCTGCCCATCAAGGGGGTAAAAGAGCTACTGGTTCAAAAGGTACAGGTGAAAGAAACTCATGGAGAAGACCCATTTTACAGTCTACGGTTCCATGTGAATGAACTTCTGCCTTTTCAATTTGTGTCTTAAAACTCTAAGAAGTTGTTCGCATGCGAGCACGCGCACCCCCCCAAAAAAATTTGATAAGTCAAGTACTCCAAAGGCAGGAATTTTCCAATCAAGTTGCCTGTTCAACAGTTGCCCCTCATGTATTTACATTTTGAAATGTATTTTAAAAAACATGATCTCTCTCCCTTTATTTCCCTTATTTTTTGTGTGTTTGACTTTGCAACTTTAATGTTCTTTTCCTAGAGGTTTAATGGGGGGATGTAACAGATAACCAGGGTGACAGATAACAGGCAACATTGCCAGGAAAAAAGCTCTTCAGTACTGTGGGAGAATTTGTACTCCTCCTAGCCATGCTTTACCTATTCTCAGAGAACTTCAGTGCCCTGCACTTGGCAGTCATGCTCCTTCCTGACACTAAATTACAATATGTCTGGAAACAGATCAAATATCCTTCAACTCCAAGAGGGTCAGGGATAGGAGAGGGATGCTTGAAACCCAGATAATGATCCAAGTTTGTAGCTCAAAAAATGTTCACATGCAGGGGCTTTACCAAAAATGTCATTTATATTGGCTTAGGGTTCATAGATAGAACCAAGTTTTTGTGGTGTCTGCACTGCAAAGCCAATAGAGCCATGGAAAGGAGTGTTATTTTCCCTTCCACCTTAGGTAGCCAACTAAGATTTGCTTCCTTAATCTTGGATGTTGGCGAAGATGAGTAAAACAGGCAGAGTAGAGATCAAGTCCAAAACAGTAGGCTGAATTTGCAAGGCCAGCTATTGATTTGGCCCAGTGATACGAGAAACAACTGAGAGAGAAAGGGTGTGAGAGTAGACAGTGTGATCCAGCAGGCTCTAGGGCAAAATTTCCAGGACCCCCTACCCCTCCGCCCCCCAAACAAGAGGTGCTTGTATCATCACCATCCACCTCCAAGAGGATACACAACAAAGAAAGCAAATTCCTCCTAAGCAAGATTTGCCCTTGTGCAGAGGCCAACCCCAAAGGCTTCTGCTCTGTTTCAGTCTAGACAAGTCCTAACGCTTTATGCTGGTCCTTCCCATAGGGGTAATTTTCACTATCTGCTTGTGGCTGGGAATCAGAAATATCTGAGTCATTACCTTCACCCTGAAGACTGAGGGTCTTTCTCAATCCAAGGCATCTCATTTTTCTGTTTGCCAAACAGCTGCTCCACTGGGATTTCCTGCCTTCTCCTGGAGACACCGATTAGCTTGCAGTCTTCAGCCCTGCCTTATTAATCTTCCCCTGAACACCTGTGCAGCAGAAGGGGCTGTTTGAGCTAAAGTTAGTCTGTTCTGCTAGCAGCCTCTGCACCCTGTGCTTACAGGAAACTCCCACAAATCCATATTCTCAGGCACTATTTCAGACTGGGCTGCAGCAGTTTAAAGGCTGCCACCAGCAAGCTGAGCTAGGTATTTCCCTGGTATAAACCCTTATACCTCAACTCACTTTAATGTGGTTACATCAATTAACACCAATGAAGGATCTAGCCCACCTAACTTTTATCATGAATGAAAATGAAGTCAGTCTCCAAACATTTTTATATTAGGACAATAGAAAGAGAGGCTTAAGACAAGGCTGTGTCAATCTGTTCTTATAAGTTACTTGCCTCGCGGACCAGATTCTCCCATGCTTCACTCATGTTAAGTATCACATGTTGAGAATTTTTCTGCAAGTGATCGAGTTGGTTTCAATGGGATCCCTTAAGGCAGGGGTAGGCAACCCTCAGCACAGGTGCCAGTGTGGCACACAAAGGCAGACAGCGAGGCAGGAGCCGAGGCTGCACTGTCACAACAAGGATCGGGCCCCCTGCAGCTCGCCCATCATCTGCAATGCAAGTTGAGGTTGCAACTGGTTTTGGCCCTCTGCCCAAAAATGTTGCTGAGCCCTGCCTTAAGGGCTGAGGTATCTTTGGAGGATCCCAGGAATCCATCTTGAGGTACCCAGTCAAGACGAGTAAAGGTGGTGAATTCAGCTCCATCGGTCCAGTGGATAGGGTACAACACCAACAGCCAGCAAAGCTGGGTTCCACTATAAGCTCTGCTGATCACTCCCTTCACAGCCTGGGGTAAATCTCCATGCCTCCCTGGTGTGATTTGGGAGTGCTGCTCTTGAACACACTCAGCACAACCCCCAACTCCTGCCAAATCCAGAAATGAATTGATGAAGTTCTTCGTGGTACAGTCCCCACAGCTGCTCTCCATGTGAGAGCAAGTGGGTGGGGAGAGGCCCACTCTGGACAGGTTGGACCACAGTACAGACCTATCTTCCACTCTACTGTGTGAAAGCAGGGTTAAAGAGCACATGTCTGCAAAGCATTTTGAAATCTACGGCCTCAATCCTGCAAATGCTTATTCAGGCACTTGAAAAATTAGTAAGGCTGCCCCTCATTTTGGGCTGGGAATAGTGTTTATATAACCAGGATTTATGAATGGAGAATGTGATAGAAAACAAACTGCATTATTTTATATGCATGTTGCCAAACTCAGGTGCTTTTGCTGCAGCAAACATTTTGGGCAGAGTCCCACTGCAGAACCTCTCAGTGAAAGTCCCAAGCTAGTGAAGGAAGAATCTGTTACAAATACCAAGACTACTTCACAGTACTTCCTGAAGTAATCTTCTATTTGCTCTTCAGAGTTTATTTGTCTAAGTCAGGTGTATTTGATCTGCTCATTTTTTTTTATTCCCAACCTTAAAAAAACAGTGTAATAAGAGTTGTATCTGCTTGAGCTGTATTCATTAGCTAATAAAACAGAAAAGAGAGGGAGAGAAAATAAATTCTTCTAAGATCTTGAACATCCTGTTACAAATGTTCCAAGGATTGATTCTGATTTCACGTATCTTGCTATAACTCGCATGGACTTCATAGGAGTTAGCCCATGATGAAGAGCAGATCAGAATCAGATCTGGTCCAAATTGTTTTATTTCATTCCAGAACCTTTAAATTAAGAAAATCTGTTTAAAATACGGGTTTTCCCCCTGCAAAAATAACAAGGGGACTGTAAGTGATACTACTTAGTTACTGCTGTTTGAGTTTAGACAGTACAGTACTTCAAAAACTTGTGACAGTGAAAATGCTGTTAGTAGATTAACATATTTTGCCTTTAAGCATTCAGTTATAACCTTCCTGAATACAAAGCTGTTGTCATTTCCTTTCTCTCCATCACACAACAATCTGTTATAAGCCTTTTCTTTCCATTAATCATGAAAATTGCCCCATGGAGCCTGGAGCAGTCAGCAGTGCCATCACTCAAATTCTTTCAGACTCAACACATTCCTTTCACGAATGCTGAATTGCTCATTTTAGCTGGCAATACTTTCATATCTCTCCTGCTTAGCTCTAATTATGATTTTTTTAACTTTGTACATGTGCAAAGGTACGGCCTGGTTGCAGTCACTGGACTGACAGCCTATTGACTGAAGTCCTCTTACTGTAGAGCAGGCACAGTAATAGGAAAGAAACTTCATCACACAGAGAGACTTGCTCAGTCAGACTTTCTTAGGTTAAAGAACTAGGAGCAGGGGATACTCACCTGATATTTTCTCCTGAGCGAGGAAGCAGAGGGTGGTAGCCCCTAGTTGCTGGAGTATCACACTATGGAAGTTTCATAGCATCTGATAAAGTAGTCTGTAGCCTACAAAAGCTTACATCTCTCTGAACAAATTAGTTTCTAAGGTGCTACTCTGCCAAGTATATTCCCTACTGCCATGAGAACTGTGGGGGAATGGAAGGGATCCAGAGAATAGGAAGGAACTGTGCTTCTCAGATCTTACTCTGGGCTTACACAAGGAGATGGAAAGCATTGGTTCAGCCCAGTGTAATTCTCAGTTAAGATCACATACTGGCGAGAGACTAATGCTTTTTTGGAAGGGACTTTGGGAATCATCCAGTGCAATCCCTTTCGCCTGAAGCAATCAAGAACACATCATAGCAGTTCTCTCAAGTGCTAAGCCAAACTTAAAAGAACATGGACAGTTTCCAAGGTCTCTTCCTTACCTGCTCACTCTTTTGGTGGGAAGAGGGATCCATTATTGCTGCACTTTACAAGGAATCAGCTAACATCAACTACAAGCACATCTTTTTTCTATTGCATTTTAACAGAGATACTGTACAGTATTAAAAGTGCATTTTATTTTCTGTATGAGTCTCATCCAAAGTTCCAGGCACAGAAATGTCCATGGTGTTCCCAGAAAAAGTTACAAATTGCTCTATTGCAATGAGATGCCCTAAAATCATCTGTGAGGCGCACAAAGGAGGGAACATCAAGAGCAGGCGCTGGATGCTTTCTAAATGAGGAGAGAAAGATGCTTCTGCTTCACAGTTGAGGCTCAAGCAAAGGGAGCTGCTGCCTGTCCCCACAGAAACTGGAACAGAGGGGCCATGCTCTACATCATCATCGTTCATGTTTCGTGTTCGAGTCATTACGTTCGACGGTTACCCCATTTCCATTTCGGGTCACGTCTTTTCTGTTCCAGTCCTTTTCCATGTAAAATTCGGCTAATATGGGGCAATGGTCTGAAGCTACGCCACCCCAGGACCAGTTATCAGGGATCCAGGGATTTGTAAGACCTTCTCTCACCACAGCCCAGTGACCTGTGTGAAGAACAACAGCAGAGAAAAAGATTAGTATGAAAAGGGGTCAGGGCAAGAAGAGGTCATTTTAAACTGTGTAAGACCAAGGGCCCAAAGCTGGGAACACATAGGCAATACCTACATGTATCAGCCTTTGCTGCAGAAGTCCCAGTGGCAGACAACAATTGGCACTGTCAAGGCACAAGAGCATAAAGTGCACTCTGGGAAGTGACCACCTGTAAAATGGATTATGGTAACAGGCAGAAGGAGCATGCAAGTCTTCCTGCACTTTCAGCTCTCTGCCAAAGGGTCTGCTGCCTCAAAGGTGAGCTGTACAGACCAGGCCCAAGGCACACAAGTAAACCGGCTCTGATGAGCAGTTCCACTGACATCAAGTAGGCTGACATAGCGCAACATTACCCACAGGTGAGCCAAATGCCAACCTAGGAAGGTTATAAAGGAGGTATTTTAAATTATTATTTCAACTAGGAAAAAAGGTATACCTGTGAAAACCTTTTTCAAGCTCCTGCTAATCCAGATGTTATCCAGAGACTTAGATCCTTGAGGGTTCTTTGTGCTGATGTTTGTAAATGTGTTTGTAGGGACTAGGTGATGGAATTTTTCTTTTCTTAACAGATCATAGTCGCTGCTGTCTGGGGCTTGGTTAAAATCTCCTAAGATGATCACATCTTTTTCACCTGAAGAAATTATGGAGGGGAAAAAGAAGAATGCAGGAAAAAGAAAATTCAATGATTAAACATGGGACATAGGGGAAAAATATAACTGATAAGTAACAATGCTGGATCCACTCTGCATGGGGCTGCTTGTTTCCTTAACATGACACACTATATTAGAAATCTTCTTTACTGAGTCCCTATATTATTACTACCAGTCATTCAAATTACCACAATTAAAAAAAAAAAGAATTTTGAAAAACCATGGTACATTTCATAATTCATGCTGCTTGTCTGCTTTATAAATTTCACCCTCGTTACAACCCACATCACCTCGTCACCTTCACTCACCTTCCTCAGTGTCCTTTTGTAAGAGATGACAGACAGCTCCTACCACCAAATGTCTTTGGCCTTGTAGGTTTTAGGAATCTAAACTTTGTAGAAGGCTTCTATTCTTGTTAAGATCTATATTTTGAACCAAACTTGCCTGATGCTCTGCTTTACAGATTTGCTGAGACAGATTCATGAGGCATTCTAGGGAGACTCCCAAGAAGACACAATCTTACTCAAGTATACATCTCTGCCTCAAAATCACTATACTACAGAACAATTTTTCTAAAACCATAAATCATTCCAGAAATTTCAAAGGAAATATAACCAGAAATGCCAAAGGAAACTGACGAATCTTATGGCAAATGCAGCAACATCTTTCTTTTTAATTCAGAAACAATAAAGAGGACAATGAAATTTGTATTTATTTTCTTACTTGCCCAAGTAATTTCAAAGATCCTGTTGAGTCCCAGGGTGCCTCAGAACTCTCTCTGACCAGGATTTTTAGAGAAACACACACATCCTTTAAAAATCCCACCCTTAATACATATAGAAAATTGTTTAGTTCCCAGGTATCTTATTTTGAAAACTTCAGCCCTGTCACTGAAATAAGAAATACAACTTTGGACCACATTCATATACCTATTGGGTAGTTCCCAGGCTGTCAAGAGATCCCTGCTGCATACTGTTGTGAGTGGAGAATCAAGCCATAGACATCTATGTGCCTTTCATTCCTTAACAAGCACACTGTAGGTACCTAACTCAAACCAACCCCAGCAGCTCAGGGATGACCACATGAAATTCCACACGAACCAATGAAATTCTTGCCTTATAGCTTATAGGTAGGCTGCTAACAGGGCCACAGATACACTGAAACATCCTAAAAGTTGACATCAGAAAATTACTTTAAATTCCTTGCTCTTTTTTGTGTTTTTAATATCCAGTGTTGATGTACAACCCACACATGTTCGGTTGCTATAGAAGTATTCAGCCAGTAGAGGGAGCTCAAGTTAAACAACAAACCCTATTCAGCTATTCCCAGATGATATCTTTTTTAACCTATGCCGCTGACATGGAAAAAAGAATCACAGTTATGAGCTAGATAAATAAACAGCACTGCAAAACCATGCTGCAGTATATGGAACAGAAGGGGTGGGTGGGGAATTAGCTTTTGTCCGATTAAAAATAATTCAACTGGTAGAGAAACTACCAATAACTTCATGTTACTAAGATGATCATAGTTTCATAGTTGGTAGGGTCGGAAGGGACCTAAGCAGATCATCAAGTCCGACCCCCTGCCATCGCAGGAAAGGATGCTGGGGTCAAACGACCCTGATCACAAACAATGTTTCTTTTTAATTTGCAAAGTGGCCTCCTTCCCCAGGTTCAAAAGAATAAGCTGTGCTACACTCAGTGCCACTTAAATCACAGGAGGGGGCTGGGGGGCGTGGGGTGGTATCAATGCTTGCCTAATGCATTAGGGCAGAATCACTTCGGAGGCAATTAGTTTATGTTCATATTCTAACTCCATTTTAATACTATTTTAAAATCCTGTAAGTCAGTGATTCTCAGCCAGAGTACAGTGAGGAGCCCTGAGATTCTTTCAAGGGTGCTAAGGGATACTACACTACTACACAATGATAGTATCATTAGGTGTCCAAACACGATTCACAAAATAAACTCAGATATTTCAAACAGAAATCCATAGCTAAAAGCATTCTGACCTCTTGTCATCTTTTTCAGTTCTTTGCAACAAAAGAATTGTTCTATTATATTTCTGTAGTAAAAAAGAGTCAAAACTAAAAGTTGGCATTTTTAATCTAACAAGGGGTGCCTTGAATCTACTGAGGGGCGCCTTAAGTCTAAAACCGTTGAGAACCACAGCTATAAGTGAATGTATGAAGGTATCCTCTTGAAATGTAACATTCCCACTGTTCAATCTCTAATTAGTAAAGTGCCACTACTACTTTTTTGTGCAAATATGCACAAGATGGTTGCCACCCATCTTAAGTTTGGTGTGTCTGTTTCTTCCAAACAAACACATTCCAAATGTGATAAAAGAAAGAAAAATGAACCAGATCAATGCAGCCTCAGTAATACAATGCAACATCCCAATCTTCTTAGTCTGGCAGGACAAATGCCTGACTAATGGATAAAGACATCTGGGTGCAATGACAGGGCAGATAAGGCCTGGCTATGTTTCCAGAGGCATGGGTTCAAGCCCTGCTCTGGACTCATGACAAAGGTTTTCCCCAATTGATCTAGATCTATGTCCCCTGGTCATTTGGGCTGGGGAGTAAAAGGCAACTGGATGTGATGCTAGCCCCATCACTCCCCTGTGTGCTGTTAGCTACAGAAACTGGAATGTCTTAACTAGTTCTAAGGGCTGTTAGGCTCAGGTGGACCCTTAACTTGAACAAATAAGGACAGACTCACTCTGGAAGTAAATGGTTCACTTGCATGCTTCTAATTTAGTGATACAAACAGAATGTGCCATTTTAAAAGCCTACATAGATGCCTAAAGTGGATCAAAGAGGACAAAGAGGCAAGAACCTTATCACTAGTTTTTTAATCCTGCACAAATGTAATCATTTCTACTGAATCCTTGAACTATAATTTCCCTTATGAATCTAAATATCTATTCCATCATATTGCTTTGAGTGACTGTCTTTAGAGCTCTCTGCTGAGATTTAAACCAAGGAGCTAAAATGACTGACTCCAGGAATTGCTCCTGGAAGCAGGTGGGATACTAGTGCAATGCATGGGCTGCGGGTGTCATATGTTCACAGCAGCCCCTGCCTGATTAAGCATGGGAACAGGATTTTCAATATTTGAAACTTCTGAGCAGTGCAGCCCCACCCAAGAGCTGACAGCATTTGTCCAGTATGGACACACCAGTGACATGGTGAACTGAAGTGAAGTCTGCATCAAAGAGGGAAGGTCTCCAATCTCCCAGTCCACCACAGACAGGATAATATATCTGTTGATCTCGGGAATTTTCTCAGCTTCTGCATTTGAGGTGCAAAAGTACCCAATCTGACAAGGACTGGACAATCCACCAACACACGAAAGAGCAGGCAACCCTATCCATTTTGAGATGACCACCACCTCTACCTCCCTTTGAACCAATTGAGATTCAACCAGTTTATAACCACCCATGCCCCATCTCAGCTACTAATTGTGAAAGCAGAAAAAGAATCAGTTTCATGCTATTTCACGCTAGTCCTGTAGCATCATTTTAGCTCATGGATACCTCTAACAATGTTAGGCAGCAAAGGCAAAAGAAGAGATCTTTCCGCAACCCTACAGAGAGTAATCACCAGTATGTGAGGACAGTTATTCAGTAAAACAGCTTCTGGTACTTTGTAAAAGAGGATGCAAGACAGCTTCCAAAGAACAATCCTGCCCATCCTCACAGTTGCTCTTGACCAGGCCTATCCAACACAATTCAAAGACCTAAAAGAATCATACTGACAAAGAGCCTTTATCCAGGGCAAGAAGAACACTGATGAAGAAAACCACTGAAATCACAATATCCAAAGCTAAAACTAGGCTGAGAGAGATCAGAAAGGTCCCAGAGGTATCTTGTCACAACTTTCCTGAATGTCCTCTTCAAGGAAATGAAGCTTGAGAATGAGTGATAAGACTGCTAATGTCAATGATGGCAAGGGGCTAGCCACTACACAGTTATGTCTTGGGTTTTTTTTCTCTTCAAGGGAGATATATGGCCTCAGACACTCCCTCACCAAAGTAGCTTTAAGTAAATGACTTCAGAAGATTGACTGACTTCTGCAAAGTTATGCGTGCACTCACAGTTCATTCTTAATCAAGGACTGAATGTTCAAAGTCTGAAAAAGATGCACGGCACTCTTTAAATGAAACAAGGAATTTGAATCCCTACCTAAGGTGAGAAGCTGTACCTAACTCAACCAGACTGCACTAATTCTCCAACCACAGGGAAGTCAAAACAAGAATAAATAAAACTCCTACAGAAGTAGGCCTAAAGTCAGACCAAGTGTAAAGGCACCTCTGTTGGCTTCCATAAAGTGTATCAAGTTATGTCAAGTCTGAATTTGGCTCAAAGGGATTATATAAACAATCTTTTTGTTATTAAGTATCCTTTCAAGTTATTAGGACTAAGATTTAAGTGAAAAGAACTTAAAAATAGCCCTGACTGACATCTTGCAGCTCAAAGGAAAACAATAGAGTAGTCATAAAAACTGCACACATGGAGATGTGTGTAGATTCTTCCAAGTGATTGACCTTGCAAAACAGCCAAGTTGAAGATTACCAAATTGTTACAGAACCTTTTAATGCTCTTATGCCTTTGTTAAATAATAAACAAGGTACTAGATTTTCCTATCTTTAAAAGACCTCTAGCATCAACAATAATAAGAACTGCTAGCCTCATAGGAAACTGTTTGAGCTCAACCCAAAAGTATCAGGAAAAGAAGTGGTGAGAAATGGAACAGATAGACTACAGAATCTATCAATTAAATTACACATTTTACTCTCGTTTAGCATAATCCAGCATCACCCCTCTGGAATTTACTTAAAATTTACATCAGTGAGACAAGACTGGAATCTGGCTTTTCACTTTTTCTTATTTCTTTAATGAGCATCAGACAATTTGAGAGATGTATGGCACTTTCCAAAACTGAGAGAGAGATTCTCACAAGCAGAAATATAACATTTCTTTCTCTGTAAAAATTCACCAGGCTGGAGTCTGAATTAATCTAGGCCCCATTTTTTAGCAAAACTCTTAAATGTGTGCATACCATTAAGCATGTGAATTGTTCTACTGACATCACTGATGCTTCCTGGAATTGGGTCTTAAATTGCAGTAAAATCAGGGGTACCTCCATTGAAGTCAATGGGAAATCAGTATGAAACTGAAGCAGGCCTCTGAGTCTTAATGACTGTTAATTGTTAAGCAATAAGAATGTACCTAGCCCAAGGGGATAATCCCTGCACTAAGGAGTTTGTGACTAAAACAACAAAGATTTGGAGAAACACACTTTGAGAAATTCATCGGAGGACATAATACATATTTTTAAATGTAAATGAGGGTTGTAAGAGTAAAATGACAATGTGGGTGTGTACTGGGTTGTCAGTTTATGTCAATAATCTTTATTTTCCTGGGCAAACTTGCTCCACAGGACACAGTATAAACCAGCAGTCAGCAAACATCAGAGGCACAGCCAGAAAAGGGTTAACTCGCAGCCTAGGTCTTTTTCCAGACCCTGAGAGGGCAACTCCAGCTCTGTGATGCTTCCTCAGCAGCACAGTTCTCTCTGGAGCCAATTCCCTGGATCACTGCTACAGCCTCTGGCTCCACAATGCACAGTTATCCCAAATCTTCCAGTCTTTTATCAGACCCTGAGAAAGTACCCTGGGCTCAGTACTGCAGCCACTAGCCATATATCTCACCTTCGTTCTTCCCCCTTTCCTGGGAGCCTTTTAACTTCCTTTGGGCCAGCCAATTCTTTTTTACCTGGCCCAGTCCTCCTGGCAAGCCTGTAATCATTTTCCTACTACCTGCAGCTAGGCTGCAGCCCCTGAGACAAGCAGCCTGCCTCAGGGTATTTATGGAACATACATCCCCTAGCTTGGATTACTTTTAATTAATTCTAATTAGGTTGATAGGACTGTGTATGTGTCCTAGGATTAAAATAATATCATACCTTTCAGTGTTTCCTGCAGAGTCTGTGCAAAGGTTGCTAATCTGTGGCTATCATGATTCTTCCCTGTGTTCTCTCCAGCTGAATGTAACAGGGCCAGATGAAGGTTAACTAGTGTTAGATCATTCATTCCAACCTAAATGACAGCAAACAGAGGAAAAGAGGTTGGGACATTCACAAAGACTTAGGCTCCTCAGTGATGTAATTTCATTTATAGCACCTGCTTTTAACTCTTAGGCCCAGTCACTAGGCCTTTTCTTTTAAAAAGTACAAGGAAGACATCTAACAGATCCAGCTACAACACAGTTCTAGCCATTCTGTTCTGGACATGTTGCTTTCTGTAAGTTATTACCTTCTTTGGATTGGGTACAACTACAATACAGGCCATTACAAAGAAAATACAAATGATGACAACTTTGTTCAGTTATTACAAGTATTAAGTATCCTGAATTATGTTCAGTACTGAAATGTCATACTGACCAAGCACAAAACACCTGTTTGCTCACTGGGTCCAGTGAACATATATTTAAGGTAAGGGCTAGAATACAGATCACAAGGTGATGTATATGGAAAGCAAGTACCTTTCTTAAGAGTTAATTGTCCCTTAACAGACTTTTGCCCTGCCTGTGTTTATTAAGAAAAGTCTACAAATATCATTAAAGGCTTCTAAGTCCTTCAAATCAAATTCCCCTGTTTTGAACCGCCGCATCATGCTATTTATTCATTTGCAGGTAGGTTCTTTGAGTAGGTCTGGCATGTTCACACAAGCACAGACATGTAGATGGGGACCCTATTTCAGAAGGACAAGCCATGTCTCTAGCTTGCTAATACTCCTACATCTGTTGAGTCAGTGATAATGCTTGGAAATTTTGTGATGTAACTGGTCCTACATTTCTCCATCACAAACAAGTTTTGAGCTGGACTAGCATCAGAGAAGTCAGTCTGTACACCTCTCAAGAGTGCTGTAGCTCTTGTGTGTCCACACTATGTAATCTGTCCTGTCCATTCCTCCCCCCAAAAAAGAAAAAGGTTATGGCTATGGTCACTTTCTATTGGACTCTTTATCCCAACCTGCTCTACCTTTAGAGCAGTTCATTTAGGGCAGGTGGAACAAAGATGGCATTGACATATAGTTGAATGAGGACATTGCCACAGACAAAGTCCCATTCAGTCTCATGTCACCAAAACCACCCCATCAGAGTCTGTGGAATGAATGGGTGTGTCTACACATGAAATTAGCATGGCTGAATAAACTGGCACAGGTTGCTCCGGAGTTTATTGATCCCAAGCGCTGCATTTGCATGTGTGCCTGGGACCACAGAACATTGAGCTGGGGCACAGCAGCCCCAGGAGGCAGCCTGCCAGGCCGGGGTTGCACCAACCCAGCTCAAGGAGCTGCAGAGGAGCTGGCTGGGGGGTAAGGATGCTCCAGTGCAGGGCTAGTCAGCAGGCAGCCCCTGCATTATAGCACCCTAGTGCCCCAGCCCTGTCAGCAACTACACACGCGTTGTGGAGTAAATAACTGTATCATAGGATACTACTTGTGTATGGCAGCAGTATCCTCATGGAGTTAATTAGCTTAATCCAGCCTGATAGCACCACAAGTGTGGATGGTGACGTTTTACTGCAGAGCTAATTAGTCAGATCTGCAGTAAATGTCTCGTGTAGCCATGCTCAGTGTGGAGGAACTTCCTTTGTGCGGATAGAAAGATATAACATGCCACAGTGAAAACACTCCTCCTTCTTGCTCCACAATGCACCTCACTGAGACCCACTGATTATTGTTATATCTCAACTCATGGGAGCAGAAGGAAGCAGGTGCTTCTTGGTCTTGAACTCTGTCTCCCTTTGCCTGTTCAATTTGAAGAGATAGGTCTCTTAATGTTTTATCACAATAGTCAAAATGCTATACCAATCAGGCAGCAAGCCAACATACCAGCTTCCAGTCAAGGTCAGGCAACTTTTACTTATCCAACGATTCATCCAATGTAGCAGTTTAAGATTTTCTATCTAATAATTCATTTTAATAAAAATTTAACTAAGAAGGCAAACCCAATACCATGCAACTACCTTGAAATGGGCAAGATAATGGTGAGGATAGATGTGCTTCCCATTGCCGTTGGTGTGAGCATTCTCCTGACACGAAGCATCTCTTAGCTCAATGCCAGCAGTCGTGTCCCAGAGGAAACCTGAATATTCAACACCCTAAAATTCAAAAGGGAAAAGCTGGTTAAAAAAAAGAAAGCACTAAACATTCTGGCACTGTACTATAATACACATAGGGTTAACTTCGGCTCTATGTAGTCTACAGCATGTTAAAACCCAGGGAAGTCAAGGGCATTGCCATCAGTGATTAAGAAAGCATGTAACAGAGAGAAAATGGAAAAATCCGTGTTGATTCAGAAGGTAAAATACGTTTAACTTATTATGTTTTCCAGGGGAGAAGGGAGATAAAACATGCTAAGTTACAAATGGGAGACAGTAAGCTCCTCCAATTGTTCATGTTACCTAAATGTTCCACTCACCAAATTCAGTTCAAATGTAACACAGCACCTCAGCCTACAGCTTCCGTTGACTTCCAAGAAACTTGCTTATGCCAACGACTGAAATTATACTGGTTTGCTGCTTACAGCCACTTATGCCTGTTTTCCAGCTGAGTTACACCCATATACCTTGCAGCACTGCTCACCTCTGCCAAGTTTGGCAAGCTGTGGTATTATACTAGTAGTATGGCTCCAAGCCTCATGGGCAGTGGTGCAGCATAAGCTATAGCCTTTCAAAGAACATAGTAGGAGCTCCTCTGACCTCTGTTCCCTATTTATTCCAGGAGACACAGTATCTGACTCAGCTATAATGCCTCCATGAGCTCCTGCTGGGGTGGCCGGTGTCTTATTACCACACTCTCACTACCATACCACTCTTTCTTGCTCTACCACATGCACATACATACACACTTTACTGCCATTTTTAATACCTCCCTCCAAATAAATTCTAGTTAAATCCACCCCAGAGAACAGCTGTCCATTTCCAGCTGTTATAAAGAAATAGTTCCATAAGCTTTATAAGAAAACACTAGGGCATGCTAAAAGTCTTTGCTAGCTGAGTTTGGGACTGCTTGCTGCTTTGAAATAGTGCCACAATTATATTATCAAGCAAAAGACTATTTATTGTTCAATATCTATCAGAGGGTATAAGCAAAGATGAGGAAAGGGGAAACACTTTCCCTTGTTCCCTCCATTCCCTGGCTCCAGATTTTCTCTTAAAGTGACTACTAGAAATCAGTATTTGGATGGGCTGAAAAGGCAAATGTGATGGGAGGTGCCCCTGCCAAATAAAATGGATGCGTGGAAGCCCAGGCCTCAGACACAATCTATTTTCTTGCATTATTTAACACAGGAGAATGTCTTGGGATGCAGTTTGTGCTGAAAGTACTATAGGCAACCAAGATCCATTACTTTACTGTAATGTGTTTATGTACAGAATGTTTGGATCTGTCTTTCCTACTGGGCCATTAACTGATTAATTTCTTGGCTTAGTAAATGGCTCAATAGCATAGTCAGATTTGTTATTTGCTAAAGCACACACGAGTCCATGGAAAAAAAAAGTTTTGTTCATGGTTTGGGTGCAGATTTCCTCTGCAGTTTGGGTAAATCATTCATCTCCCTTCTCTCTCAGGTCCTTATCTACAAAACGAGAGTTAATAATGATTTTGATTCAGCCCTTACTCAGTCTGCTGACATGGAAGACTAAGACCCAAGTAAGACTTCTAGATATAGCCAGTTAATATTTAATCTTTTTGTAAGATTAATGGGGATATTTTGCAAAACTTTTAAATGCTGTATTTTATTGATCTAATGTTTAAGATGTTTGCAATAAATCCCAATGGGAAAGCATCTCCAACAAAGGAAAGAAAATGGCTTGAAATGGATTAGCCCACTGTACACTAATATATTTTTTCAATATATTTTGAATATTTTCAGCAAGAGGAGACGCAACTAAGTAAGTGTTACTGCACTACAGGATAAAGACTTCACTGCAATGTTCCAAATACAAGAAATGCTGTGGTGGAAACAACATTGTAGGGCCTGACTGGTTTGTTCTTTAATGTTACTACAGCATATTTTAAATATATGTGATGCAGCTTATGGAATGTCTAGCATAAACTACATTGCCAGATGAGAAGAGCATGCTGAACAGACTATCTGTGTGGTCTTCATTTGCAAAGGAAGAACACTGGAAACTTTTCCAACTTCTACCCAACATGTTATCATATAGCAAGCTTAGACAACTAGCAGAAAAGCAGTGGGAAGTACTTCAGCATGTCAGGATGCAGAATGCAGGCCTATCTCCTGACCTTTCCTACACATATTGGTTTTTATATACATTTTTTTCCTAGCATAAGTATTCCTAAAGATTATGAAAAATGATTCTTTCTAAAAATCAATAGCAAAGTCAAACCAAAAACCATATGAAGAGTCAGCTCAAATCACAAGAGAGTTGCAACCTTGCCAAAAAATTGCAGAATGCTTTGGCTTAACAAATTAAAAATATGTCCTTGATCTGAGCAAAACAAAGTGAAGCAAAAGGTCAAGTGCTGAGGATTAACGTACCTTATGTAGCTGGCCTGAGGGCTTCTCGGAAACAACACCCTTCCAGCATCCTCTAGGGCCCTTCCACTTGCGGATGTTTGGCAGAGTTGGCTGGTTCAACTCCATACAAAACTGCAAAGAAAAAAGCATAATCTTTGTAGGAGGTATTTCCCCCCCCCCCTTAAACCAGAGCAGTAAAGCTACAGCAGCATTAATAAAAGACATACTGTTGATGACAGACTATAAACTGTACTGAAATATTAAACATGCTCCATTTACAGACTTGGGGCCAGCTCCTCAGCCAACCACCTTGACTTTACTACATGGATGTCATTTTACACCAGCTGAGGCTTAGGCTGCAGTATCTCACATTGTGCCAGTTCGAGGAAACCAGGGAAAAGGCAGATTGTTAATACAGACCAAAGAAAAGCATTCTGCTAGGATGTAACAGAAACACTGACGCTAACTCTTTTTGCACAAAATGGACCAGTTTGTGCTGACTTGCACCTGTTTTATAAATTTTCAAAAAAAATTTTTTGAGCAGCTCAGCACGGAGTCTATCACTGCACTTTAAAAACAAAAAAAATGTGGTCCTCAGCTAATTTATCCCAAGCATGTATAACTGCCCTGAGTTAGAGGGTTTGCAGGTTTCCAAACACGGTTCCTAGTAAAATGCAATAGCCACCTTGTTGGAATTGAAAGGGATCTCTTCTGTGCTACCTCCAATGATTATAACTACTATAACCCCCAGACTGTCAGAGGGCCAGACCCCTGGGGTTATTCAACCCATCTGTACTGTTCCAATGGTAGAAAAAGGCCAGGGAGTGGGCAAACCCAGCCAAGGTTTCCTACAGTACAGGAAATCCCTATGCAGCACAGAGCTGGCTTTACTCCAAACCTTGAGAAGTCTCTTGGTGGGATAAAACAGGAGGAAGGGTGTGGTCAGAGGGTTGCTGTGGATTGATGATCCCGGCTAACATAACAGGTCCTTGCATTAGAGCTGCTATTGTTCCAATTTATGTCATAGGATTACAGGGGTCTCTGGCAGTCCTAAGGAGAAAGGAGGCACACAGGGACCCTTTCCTTCATGCCATTTGAAGCCTGGGTTGAGTACAGCTTGGCGGAATCACAGGGACAGGCTCACAGATTCATGTACAACAGATGCAGATCAATGCAAGCACTGTTAAGTATTCTAAAGCCACACTACTCTTTATAACACCACTTAGAAAATTAATATTTGGCTACCCCTGACTGCCTGTCATGCGGCCCTCGATGGCTTGCCAAAACTCAGCAAGCAGTCCTCCGCCTGAAATAATTGCCCACCCCTGCTTCAAGAGAATGAATTAGGCCAAGCTGGCTGTATGGAGCTGTGGTGGTAGGAGCACAGGCTGGCCCTCAATTTAAAAAGGGAAACTCTTTTGTGTGTGGCTAGGGAGCCACATGACAAAGTGGGATGGGGCTTCAGGGCATATAAACCCAGGGCCTGAGCCAAAACAGGCAGTCTGACCCTGGCAGCAGGGAGAGGAGCTCCTCGGCAGGATGTGCTGCCACCACAAGGACTGGGCCCCCTTGCAGATCCCCACCATTCACCCCTGGCACACAAATGTCTTACAAGTCAAGGTTGCTGGTGTTTTGGCACTTTGCCAAAAAAAACATTGTTGATCTGATTATAATGACCATTCCATGGGACTTGCACCTGGGATACCTTTGTTCAACATCTTTTCTAACATTAAGATAATTTACTTAAATCATCAAACAAAAACTTTTGTCAGAGGTAAGAGTTCTATTGTAAATCTAAGCAAGGAGTTGACTTACTTTTATGCTGCAGGTGGCTAAAATGGCAGGTCAGAAGGCAAACTAAGCATTGGATAGTAATGAGTAAAGATGTTAAAGAAATCCATTACTGAAAAGAGCACTTGCAAGTGAACTAGTATAACGCTTTTGGTTCCTGCAAATTGATCTTACAAGGCTCTGATTTGTTTCCTCAAAGTAGAGAATATAAAAGATGACATGCTTCTTCTACAAGAGGATGTGCACTTTGGGTGCAATCATAGGAAACTGAGAAGTTGTTCTGAAACAGCTGACCTTGACTTGTATCCATTTCCTAGAATGCTTGCTTGCTTAGGAATTTTTGCTCAAGTGAGAAGGGCTTTTCTTAATGCTGTTCTGCACATAAAATCCAAAGGCAGAGGACATTAGTCTTTACCTTGCGCAATATAGATATATGGGTAAGCTCCTATAGAACATTAAAAAATAATCTTCCTTATTAACTTACATAGTTAAATTAGGTCTCTGTTAAATCCATTTTGAAAGAATCCTTTGGACAAATGAGAAACATTCAGATGAAACTCTTGAACAAAAGCCTGTATTTTTGCAAACCACCCCCATAAAGAATAAAGAGGGCTATGTTGTGCCTGGCTTCCTGTGATCAGAGACTGAATGAAGAATAACTTGCATTTGAATACTTGTCTAACTTTATCTCAACTATGTAGTTGATCCAATAAAATATCATTCACCCTAAGAAATTCCTGCCTCTCACAGAAAGGAATAAATTAATTTGAGTTTTTTCCTATCAATTTTTTTCTGACTTCAGGGTTTTCAAAGCATTAGCAATTCAGGATTTTTAAGTCTGGAAGGGAACTGAAGGGGCTCTGCTGCTTGTATCATCCATCCACTGCATTTTGCTATGGTGTACTTTATTTTCTTAAATCCTTGATGAATGCTGTGTCTAACTTTGAATCCATTCAATAATAATGATGGCAACAACTGCCTTTGCCAGCTCACCCTTTGCAAATGTTTCTTATATTTAACCCGCTTTTACCGCTGCAGCTACAGATAGTCAATTTTAGTTCTTGTTGTCCAAGCAGGCTTAAATATACTGGAACACAGACCTAGGAAATTAAATTTCCATAACGAGTGAGATCACTGGAAGGTATACCATCTACAGGAGGAAATCCCCTCTTATTCGCTGCCAACCCCACTGCTAGCTTCCAGGGCTAGGGACAGACATTCAAAAAGCCTGAGCCTGAATTGATTCAATCTTTGCTGGTTAGTCTAACCTGGCTAGGTTGAACCAATTTGCAACTGTACAGACATTCCCTCTGATCTGAGGAAATGCAGGTACATGCTGCAGTGGCTCAGGCTAGAAGCCAAGGGGCACTACAGCAGCCCTCCCTTTCCTTGCGCAGTACTGAGCTGAAGGGGGACATGGCCAAGCACCAGCAGGAAGCTTTGCTTAGGAAGGGGTGTAAACCCCCATCCTGCCTGCACCGTCCCAAGCTTTTCCCCGCTCACTGCTCAAGGGGCAGGAGTGTTGCCAGACCCCAGCCAGCACTCTGAGGCAAAGGGGAGGTGTGCAGTGCATGCATCTTTTGATGATACTGAGATTTTCAGTCTCCCTCTGCCTGCATCTTCATACTGTCTGCAAACCAGATAGGTGAGGGAGCCAGCAAGGAGCTGATAACAGTGTTTAGCAGCCCAAAAAGAAAACAAAAACTTCTCTCATTAGTTCAAGCTCTTCTTAAACAGCTTTTTCCAAGGAAGGAATGGAGGGACATTACCAGATGACCTGCTGATTAGCTCTAAAAAGCCCTAAGCTGTCCTGTCCCAGTGAAACTGGACACACACACGCACGCACACACCTTTCAGCATTAGCTAGTATACCACATGCCAGCTATGGTTTGTGAGGCTGGGGTCCATGCTATGGGAGATGGGAAGGAGAGAGGGGGGATCCCTGCTTAACCAATGAATGGCAAGGGCTGGGGTGGGGCAGGGGAAAGCCAAGCAGATCCTGCTGTGCCTGCAGTCTCCACTGGAGCTCTGGCTAGGGAACAGAGGGGTGGGGCCAGTCCTGATCTCTGGAGCAGACAGCTCAGCCCAGCCCAGGGCTGCAAAACATCTGAGATGCTGAGGGACTCTGGTTTAACTTAAACCAGGAAGGGGTTTCAGACAGACATTGCATAAACCAGGTTGACCTAAATCAGTTATGTCTGATACTACATTTAACCAGGTTTATCTTAAAACCAGTTTCAGCCATTCTGAAACTGGTTTATGTGCACTGAACTTATGTTCTGTTACAGGTTTAAACCAGTTTCTGATCATTTAAACCACTTTATGTGTAATGTCTGTCCCTAGCCCAGCAGGACAACCTTGACTGCTTCAGGAAATGTAAGAGCTCTTCTCTCTACTTCTCAATGATACCATTTTCACAGGATGAAAGAATCCCAGCATTTCAAGGCTACTATGTTCCCTTCTCCTTCTACCCCCCAAGAGCAACTGGATGGCTCCTCTGGCCTGTTTTCCTGTTTCCCCTTGGTTCAAACAACACAGCTTAAGGGGGAGAGAGACCCTGCTGCAACCCCTCCTAGGAATCTCAGGAGCTGCTGCATGAGCAGAAAGGAGGTTGGGGACAGAGGGAAAAATGATGGGAGCTGCAGGCAGAGGAACTGATGTGGGAGCTAAAGGGAGGAGGGTGTAACACCTGCAGGTTCTTCAGAGGGCAGAACTGACTGGAGAGATGGGATTAATTTAGGAGATGAAAGCAAAGTTCATCGCTGGACCAGGCAGATGTGGGGGGGGAGTGGCCGGCCCCTCACCACCATCACAACCTTTTTTCACATCTCATTAAGCAGTGCCGGCCAGAATAACTGCTCTATGTAAAAGGTTAACTATAGCAATGCAGTAATTGTGTTTACTAACAGAGCCTCCCATATTCAGTCTGTGGTAAGTCAGACAGGACCTGTTTCACAGGATACCACAGTTTATCCTTTATCACTCTGAACTTCCCATTTGCATTGCCATTCTGAGTTGCCTTCTCTACAGGAAGGCAGACCTGAGTGCTGTCCTGCTCTACAAAATGAACATCAGGGCCAGGTTTGAGCCCATGACCTGCTCTGAAACAGACACCTTCTGTCCTGGAAGCAAAGGTGTGCTAGCACTAACCCACATGGAAAAGAAACATGACCCAAGAAAACACACACTGGAGTTTTTATTAAGTAGTTTGTAATCAGGTTACTTCTTGTAAACCAGCAATTCTCCTTCAGAGGATCCTTAAATTGCAGACACAAAAGCATTAAAAAAAAAAATCATACTTAAAAAGAGGCTTCTGATGTGAGCCCATTAATATGGCGCAG